AGATGGCATTCCGGCCAAATTAATCAAACTATGCCTTCCCGAAATCCTTCCTGTTCTCCTATTCATATATAATTTCTCCTTTCAAAACTCAGTATTTCCTACCTCATAGAAGGAAGCCACCGTTCGTCCTTTAAATAAAAATCCTAACCCTTCCTCTCCCAAAGATTTCCGTCCAATTTCAATCCTTTCCAACCTTTCAAAACCCCTTGAAAGAATAGTGCAATCCCAAATTTCCAATTTTCTTGAACATTCCAATCAACTCGACCCTTTCCAATCTGGTTCCAACCTGGACCAGATTACTCCACACAATCTGCCATAATTAAAATCAGTGATATTCAGTCCGCTATAGATGAGAAAAAACTAACTGTCCTTGTACTTCTTGACTTTTCCAAAGCCTTTGATACCATTGACCATACCATCCTCTTCTCCAAATTAAAATCATTATCCTTTTCCAACAGCGCTATTCTTTGGTTTCAGTCTTTCCTCTCGCAACGTTCCCAAGCTGTCGCTATCCCTAATCAACCCTTGTCTTCCTATCTTACTCTATCCTCAGGAGTGGCCCAGGGCTCTAGTATATCTCCTCGTCTTTTTAGTTCCTATATCAACGACCTCCATAAATCAATCCTCCACTATTCCCATCACCTCTATGCCGATGATTCCCAAATTTACTTTTACTTCCCTCCCTCAGAGTTGTATGGTGCGTTTACCAAAATCCAAGAAGATCTAAATCAGATCAACGACTGGGCATACATCAATGGATTAAGATTAAAAGCAGATAAAACACAGGCCATTTTCATTGGTTCCAAACCCCTCCTCAAATCCAATACCAACATTCCTATTCTGTATCTAAATAACCATCCTATCACCTTCAGCACCTCAGTTAAAAACCTAGGCATTTTAATTGACCAAACCCTCTCCTGGAATCACCATATTGCCCACATTTCTCGGCGGTCAATTTGTACTCTTTAACTATTCCATCGCTTCCACCATCTCCTTCCTATACCCACACGTAGACTCCTAGTATCCTCCCTCATCTTCCCCCACCTTGACTACGGCTGTGTGGTGTACAGCGGCCTCTCGGTGCAACTTGGGGACAGACTAAAAATAATTATGAATAGCTTAGTAAGATTTGTCAAAGGGATCCTGAGACGTTCCCGTGTTTCTCACCACTATGCCCAGTTAGGGTGGCTCTTCCCCTCCTGTAGAAGACAATACTTCCTTGGCACATTCCTTTATAAAATAATCAACAACCATCGCCCTTCCTATGTATATACAATCTCCTCCAATTTAAATCATCTGTCCACTCCCTCTCCACAAGATCTCGGCCTTCTGACCTTTACACCCCTTTCCATAGATCTGCTTCATTTCAACATTCCTTTATTGTCCGCTCCTCCAACTTTTGGAATTCCATACCACTTAAAATCCTCCATGCACCATCCTTATATACATTCAAAACCCTCTTATTCCAATTCCTCTTCACAATCCAATCAGATGCTGGTTAATTAGGTATCATGTATCAAGGATCATTTTTTTTTTTTTTCTTCTTTTCATACACCATTATTTTATTTTATTTTTTGTTTATTATTTGTGAATTGGAAAGATTCAGTATCATTTTTGGCATAGCACTGTGTGGTGATGCATAAAAAGTAAGAGATTGTTTGTTGATTTTATCCATTTTTATTTTTTCTATCTACAAGATTGTGACGTATTTCATTTCTTACATTCCTCAATTTGTATACATATATATCTTTCTATTGTTTTTTTTTCTATACATGTAATACTTTTTTCTTTTTTTTTTTTTCCTTTTCTTTTTGTTATTTTTTCCAGTAAAATTATAAATATAGTTGAGAAGATTTTATTTTATTTATTACCAATTTACATACTATTATTTAAGTTGTTGCATATATTGTTTGAATCGTTATTGAGTTAGTTTTCGGCCAGATGTGTATTTTTTTTCTTTTGTAACTGTACATTAAAGTTATTTAATCGTCCAAGAATAAAGTTTATTTTCTATTTCTATTTCTAAGGCAATTTATTTTTTACCACTTCAATTTCACTGATCATTCCAACCATCCTCTTCAATTATTCACTACAGTCAACCATAAGCCCACAATTATAAGTATAATACATTAGACGGCTGTGAAAAATATATGGTAATTGATTGTTTCAAAAAATATTTTTTACCGTCTGTGATTTTTAGTTTCCCTTTCTTTTGTTTGGAAATACATATTTCTCCTAAAAGAAGGGTGATATGTGAAAGTTATGCGATGTGCGCACTTCACCAGATTTTTTAGTTTTATTTTGTTAAATTACTGAAATTTTACTAAGTTATCCTATTATTAATTTTATCCATCTTAAAGCCATGGAATTTTAAATAAATAAAAAACTATAAGAGGTATATTTCATTAACAATATTATTATTAATTCTTTTAAGACATTTATTGAAGAAGGGACCTTGATGTTTTACTTTACATATATTTGAATGTCCTTGTGTATCATCCTTAATATATGTTCTGTTGACATTGAACAGAAAATAGTTGGATGTATTTATAAAAATCCTTTTAAATGACCCAAGAATGGTGTAATACTTTCAATTCCACTTTCAGTCCTACACCACCCTTATATTGAACAGCCAATACTATTTGTTTTTAGGTATCATTTTATACTATCTGATGATAGAGCCTACTAAAGTGAGTTCCATAAAGCTTCATCAAACAGGTTGTATAAATTCCTGTTGAACTCGGTGGATTAGGGTTAATTACATTATGATTACCAACCTCATATCCCTGGAGGAGTATTTGAAGCAGCATGAGGTGCTTGATTATGGATCCTTGGCTCAAGCAACTTCCACCTAGTCTGGACATTCTGCCTCGTGTGTCCAAACATTCCAGTTTAGTTTGGGAATGTCCACTGCTATTGGTCCAAGATTTGCTCAGATTCCCTTTGGTATTCTACTAGATGATGGCAGTTTGCATTAACAAAAATAGGCAATAAATTACTAGTAGCAGTGTGTTTGGTACCTCCTAGTCTATTAACCCTACTCCCTTTTTTTATTTTAACTTACCTATATATGTAATATATAGTAAGGATAAATATTGCAATGGTGAAAATTTTGAAATCTGAGTTTTCAACAGAAATACATGCCTTGAGTCCAAATAACCAAGTCCCATAAAATGGTGTGTGTGTGTGTGCGTGTATTCGTGCGTGCGTGGGTGTTTGTGAGGCCTAGCTAAAAAAAGTCTTATGAAACTGAAACTGCGTCTTTAAAGTTTTTGTATGCCTGGGATGTTTAGTAACATTTTCTTCAAAATTGGCAAACCGGATGTGGTACTTCATATCATCCATCAATTTAACTCATTTTTCTCAAAAAACGCTAACAATTTTTATTAAACTCAGTATATCAGTGTATTATTAAATGGTCTTTAATATCAGCTTTGTCTTATCTACATTTATGTCACCTTATAGGACTTAAATGCCCAATTTTCAATATTTCTTCCTCTAAAGTACCTTAATTTGGTTTATTTATAAAAATTAACTCTCTCTCATTTACAGTAACAATAAAAAATAGCTAAATAAAAAGTATGAAAGAATAATGATAATCAAATAATCTATAAAAAAGGAAAAATGTTTATTTAGGTCAAAAACGAATCTCCAGAAATAATAGTCAGAAGTTATAGGTATAATATATCGTTGGAAAGCGGAGAATTTTAGAAGAATAAAAATATCTAATATAGAAAGTCCTAGAAAGAAATGGAGAGTTATGAAAAATTATAAATAATAATTTGTGAAAACTAATATTGTTTAACGGAAATCACATGTTTCCAAGGAAATTAAATAAAATTTCCCAACTAAATGTAAACTTTTAAAAAAATTTTATGTTTGAAAAAAAGGTATTTAAAATCCACCAAATCAAGTCAATGACATTGTTAAAAAAATTATTTCATTGTACTTGTGTGAAAGAACAAGTGAAATATAAAAATATTTCATGTATGTTTAAAACATATGTTTATAACCTTAAATTCATTTACTTTAGTTTAATAACTCTAGATCTTACATTATATTTAAATAATTAGGTATAAATAGGTAGGTATTGATTTATTCCAAAAAAAATTCCTTTTGTGAAATCACATTATCAACTTACAATTAGTGTGACGACTTTTGACCTATCGATGTTGTATTTTGGCAAATTTTCCAAGAGTAAAAATTAAGAATTTAAATACATGTTAAAAGTGATAGAGATTTAATAACTATAATTTTTACTATATAGTACGATTCTTAATTATTAATAATTAAATATATGTGATTCAAATAGACTGATGCAGTTATAAGGTTTTTATTGCCTTCAATCGATATAATAAATAGGGTTTATGTTGTTTTTACGGTCCTAATGAGTTTTTGTATTGATGAATATGACAAAAATTCAAAAATATGTTGTTTAAGGTTTAGCTGCATTAAAAATGCACTTCAAAAACTTCTTTTAATAGCCCAATTTTGCCAGACAAGAATTGCTTTTCGAAGTAGAGCGGTAAGTGAAGTTGAGTGATGGGTGCATCAGATTTTTTATTTTGGAAATTTATATATACATGATAGTATTAAAAAGAAAAAAAATATATAATAATTACCTTTTAACTATGTTATATAATTTTGTTTTTACTTTAATTTTTAAATTTTATTTTTAGCTCTAGGTGTAATTTTGCCATGCATGTAATGTCTTCCTTACCTTTCTTTTCATTGTTTATCTGTCATGAATGAAATTCATTATTTTATTTTACTTTTTGGTTCAGAAATGATGAATTAATTTTGAAACTATACACAGAAAAAGCTCATAGAATGTAATTTTGAAATAATGTTATTCAAGTATAGCTATGTTCTGATGATTTGATTAAACTTCAAGTGTTTAAAAGAAGGTGCATTTCAAGGTTTAAATAAATTGTTTGTTTTTAATCTTCAAAAGTACTCATTTTATACATTTTCATTTGAGTTTGATTTTATTTTTTCAGATTGAGGCCTTTCAATACTACTTCATATGAACCTCTTATTGATCAGTCAGAAAATTCATTTTTTATTGTCTTAGATAAAGAGATCAGGCTACCTTTATCAGTAAAACCTCATAAAAAATCAGTTGCCTTTTTATTAGACCCTTCATCAAATATTCCAATCACATTAGCCTTCAAACCAGAACGACCTGAAATTAGTTCATCATTGTTAATGATTCGGTGAGCTTTTTCTTTTCTTTTTTTTTTTTGTTTTCTTTTTTTTTCCTGTAGCGCTGTATGGTTTTGAATATTGTTTTGTATAGAACCTAAGTGTTTTGATTATTGTGTTGCAGCAACAATCTGACAGTTTTGGAAGTAGTTAAGTTAATGGGATCTGGAGCATATGCCCAATTTAAATTTGGGAATAGGCGTCCTGGTAGTGGAACTCCATTAATGTTTGAACTATCTGAGAAATATTTACAAATTTGTGAAAGTGAGTCTGTGTTATGAAAAATTTTAATAGTATGTAGTATTATTATTTTTTTGTCTTTTACCATAGTATTGTTTATTTTGTATTATATTTTAGAAAATCCTTTGTAAGGAACAGGAAGTCTTGTAATTATTTCAGTGTAAAAAAAAATTTGATTGTTGATCAAATAAATTTAAAACAAGTAAATTAAGTATATTAACCTTAAAGATTTTTTCAAGAACTATGAGATATTTTGATTCAGCGTACCTAAGAATCTTTACATTAAGTATCATTGAAAACAAAAATTAGAGTGTTCAGTATTTTTAAAACCATAAAATTTTCTTTTGGTTTGAAGCTCTATATCTTGTTTTTAATTTATCTGATTTCGATGTTTATGGACTTTCTTGCTAGAAAGAGTTAGTTCTGCAGATGTTATTGGGCATGTTGATTATAGTCATGCTTTAAGGGATTTTGGTTGGTTCATTCAATAAATACACCATTAATAATTGATATATACAATTTAATTTTTTGGGAAAAGTACAAAAGCTATTAGTAATAAAGTTTAAAGAAAAATACAAAAGAAAAATAATGTTATACAAAAATGAGAAATGCAGCTGCAGAAAAATTAATTACAGAATAAAGAGAGAAAAAAAGGTAAAGGTTTTATTTATTTTCGTAAAGGTAAAGAAATAAAGGAAAAATACAAAAAATGAAATTATGCTTGCTAATTAACAGAAACTTAAAAGAGTGGCAACTCCAGCACAGATAATATAATACAGCGGGAGTCCAGATGAATTAAACTGCAATTTTTTCTATCACTCTAAACGGTCTTTTTTTTATATCATCTGTTTTTTAAAACACTCAATCGATATTTTGTATCAAGCCTGGACGATCGATTTCCAAAGAGGTAGGAAGCTGGCTGCAGCACTGATTACTGAAGGCGTCATGACGTAACAATAGGAGTGTGGTAACAATATCTTGAATTAGTGAATTTGTATGTCAGTGTAATATAAGATGTGTCCATGTGTGATAAAACTAAATTTAAAATGTTTACAAATAAACTACTACTATGCCAGTTATTCCATTCTTTTGTCTCTTAGAAAAAATAACCAAAATCTTGATATTTCCGTTATGGTTATTTTGAGCTGTTATAACCAACCAGTTAAACTATAGGTCAAAAAGTATGCTGTAACTGATAACCAGTTATTTTCCAATAATTGGCATTCCTTTCTGGCACTACAGGTCAATGTGACCCTTGGCCTCCTGAATTATCCTTTTTATTGACCCCTGTCCTGTGCCTAGCTCTTCCAATTGTGAAGTCCTAGCTTTCTCACATCTCTTTCACTTCATCCTTCCATCTATTCCCCGGTCTTCCTCTGTTCCTTTTCCCATTGAAATGCACCTAGAACATTTTTTTCTATACCCTTTCTGTTAAGCTCAACCTAAACACGTGTGCTGCCCATCTTAGCCTATTTGCTTTTAAGGCAGTTAATGATGTTCTTATTCTCTAATCTACTCTCAATTTCAGCAATGCTGTTAATTTTCTATTCATCATTAACTTGTATTACTCCGTAAATGCTTCTTATAATCTTTCTTTTGAATAATCTTGTTTTAAATCTTATAATAAATTAATAAATAATCTTGTTGTTCTTTTGAGAATCGTCTTAGGACAAAAACCAAAGTTTCACTTCGTTGTTTTTTCTTTTAATTATTGTAAACATTAGATTCATTATCTTTAAGTTTGTATATTATTCATTAAACTACTAGTTTTGTTTGTCTTTTTTAAATGAATATTGTTCATATTATTCACTAAAATAAATATATTATTCCTTCATTGTTGCTCCTATTGTATCTAAAATTTAAAAATTCCTTTTTATCAATTCTTCCATTTCCATATCATCTTATTTTTTAATATGCCATACGATGCCACAATATCTGTATTTTATTATATGAATTGATCAGCAATTTCTTTCATTTTTACTCCTATTGAGATTGTATTTCTATCCTATGTTGCTACTGAAATCTCACATTTTTTTTTCCATTTTTGTTTATTCAGTTTAATTTTTCTAGATCTTTTACCATTAAAAACATCCAAATTTTCTTTTAACTCAGAACAACAAAGTTTTTATGAGATGGTGTCATTGGCACCATGCTTAACCCCAACCTAAAGACCCAGGTCATTTTTCTTTCGGGTTCCCCTCCCCCTCGGCTTGTTGCTTTCATTACTGCTGAAGAGTCCAACCCACTCTTGGTTTAATTTTGGAGTCGCCTTTTAGAAATATTGCCTTTACTACAGCTTTGTGGTATGTCCCCCAGGATGCAGTTTAATGTCATGTCCAGGGCGAAATGTAGTAAAGCATATCAACAAACATTTTTGTTGATATGCTTTATATTTTTCCATTACTATGAAAAATGGGAGCGGAGTAGCTCAGTGGTAGGACACTAAGCTTCCAATGCTGAAGATCCCAGGTTCGAATCCCGGCTCATGGCAGGAAAATTATTTATTCTGTTTCATTGGCCGTGGGATGACCCTGGGGTAGGGAGACCCTCCTGTAGCACACCCAGCCTCTACAAAGTGGGTACCCTTAATTCAATAATTGATTAAGAGGGAAAAACCAGGACGATTGAGCTTGATCCTGGCCCGATCCCCTCCGTGCACAACCGTTGACCTTGTAACAGTACTTGCCCTAAATAGTACTGAACCCAAGATCCTTCATGGGTTGTAGTGGTACAGGTTTTTTTTTTTTTTTTTTTTTTTTATTATGAAAAACTACTATATTCATGTCTTTAGACGAATATAAACACTGAAAGGATATCCAAAACTACTCCTTTGTTTCTTCATTGCGAAGTATTCGAGACTCCAGAAGGTGTTTGTGCCAAGTCCCAGAGCATCCTAAACGCTTGATAGTCTTCAGCATACCTAGTACGCCTAAAGCGTCTGTGGGCAGCACCTTTTTCACATGCCTCTTTTTCAAATCCTTAATTTCCTGACATATTCAAGGTACAGGGTGGTGACGAAGGGTAGTTGTTTTCAAGGGGGATTCGACAAGTTCATACATCAAGTTCTGTCAGACAACATTGTTATCATCCGTAGATCCCTTCAGAGTATAAGAATGGCTTTTGAAATGATGGATGTTGAAGCAAAAAAGATTGGTCTGCATATCAATGGTGAGAAAACGAAGATTATGATATTGGGTAAGAAGTCACTGAATCAGAAGCAGAGTTGCTTTGTAATGGGCCCCTTCAATTTTGAAGTGGTTTGAAGCTTTTCTTGCCTTGGCTCTATCGTTAAAGATAGCCAGAATCAAGCAGAAGAGGTTAAACACAGAATAACAGCAGGAAATAGAGCCTATTTCGCCATTTTAAGGCTAATCAAAAGCAAACTTGTTAGCCGTACCACTAAGTTCAGATGTTTTGCAAGACACTGATAAGGCTAATCGTCACATACGGTGGAGAAACATGGACTCTAAGCAATAAAAGCATTAACCTGCTTGACAGGTTTGAAAGGGTAATTCTGAAAAAATAGTGAGGTGTTTAGACTCTACAAGGAATGTAGCATCTCCTCATATATTAAGATACAGAGGTTTAAGTGGCTTGGTCTTGTGAGGAGGATAAGCGAGGAAAGAATGGCTCATAAATTGTACAATATCGTTCCGGATGTTGTGCTCCGACACGGTAGGCCGAAGGGCCGATGGAGGGATGCTGTGGGGCAGGATCTGTGGCAACTGAGGATTCCTGTTACTCTTACAGAAGATAAAGAGAGATAGTTGATGGCTGTTGATTATTACAAGGCAGCTTCTTGCGTCTTTTGTACCAATAAAAGAAGAAGAGGGAGACAAAGTTGAAGAGCAGTCATGTTTCAGATTTCACAGAGTTCACATCAAGGTTTGTGTAGCAGTCGTCATTTTTGACTTGATCTTATCTGTTCTGCTCAGTCAATATCCTCCACCTTTGAACTCAGGCCCAGGCCCACCCCCATACTCATCACCAGGCCCATGGAAGTCTCCCCAGATCTCACTGGGACTCCTCTTATTTCTATTGGCCTGGAAAGATACAATTGCTCACTCACAGCCTGATTTTGAGCTGCGAGACCCAAGACTTGAGACTCGTATTTTCCTGGACCAGTCCATCGATCTTAGAATTTTGAGCCTCCAGTAGTGAATCTATAATATCCAATTTTGCTGCATTCTCGAAAGTGATAGAGGCTTACTTTTCATAAGATATTTTTAGTTATTTCACCTTGTTAGCATTGGCATCGAAGGAGAATTTTAATACCTTGACTTCTTCTGTAAGATCTTTAATGGCAGAAAGTAGCAATTGGGATGTGGCGTCGACAGTTAGTTGTTGTAGAGCCGATCTTGGGGGGCTAGAGCACTTACCTGTCGGTTGGATATTTTTCCGGGCCTTTTCACATTTGGGACATACCCAATTTTTTCTTAATGCTTCAAATTTACTCTCATCTGTGTTAAAGTATTTGCCATGAAAAATAGCTTGATACATCGTAATAGAACATGCTAATATTTTTTTATCTTCTCTAACTATGGTCTGTCTGCAAATCGGGCATAAAACCATCTTGATTGGTGTGAGATAACTAAATTATAAAATATGTAAAAACAAATACGTAAGCGAGGTGGTAAAAATTGATACAACCCGGCTATGTCACTAGTCTTATACTGCTAGTAGCTAATCTTATATCTGCGCTTGCCCTCTCCACTTCTATCCTTAACTAAGATGTCTACGGTACCTGTAAGCCATCTAAAACTGAGATTGCTTCCTTTCTTCTCTTAACGCGAGACGCGTGTGTAGTGAAGATTCAATCCTGCCCGTGGATACAGCACAATTAATAGTCGGTTCTAGTTAAAAACTATGACAAAACTGTTAAAACTACTGATTATAAAACTAGCTGAATGTCTATCATACGCTCTTAATTTTTTTTAAAATTCTTGCAGCGGATAGAAATTTAAATAATAAACTGGTTCTATTAGCATCAGATACTCTAACACACAGATATTGGCTCTATATACTGTCATCAATATTGAATTCACTAATGGGAAAAAAACAACAGCTTTATTTGTAGATATAAAGGAAAGATATGATTCCGTTCCGATACAAATTCTTGCTAAAACTATGAATAAGATTTGCAGATTTCATAATTAATTTTACCAATAATTAGCAAATATATTCAAAAGTCAATAACTTAATAATGTTAACCAGAAATGCTAGAGTACGACTACCTCAGGGAGGAATTCTCAGTTATTTTTACTATTCACAATGTTCTCATCTGATTTAAGAAAATATATTCCAGATCAAGTTTTAATCTTACAGTTTGCTGATGACATATGTTTATATACTTCACATAAAAATAGAAGTAGGGGTATAGAACTGTTAAATAAAGCTATTAAAGGTTTCAGGCGGTGACAACTTGAACATAGCATGGAAATTTCAGCAAAAAAATCAGTAGATTGCCCATTCAGTAGGATGCATGTTTTTCCATTAGGGGATTCTAGTAGTTTTGGAGGGAATAAATTTCCCATGCTCTACTAGTGTCAGATTTCTGGGGATGTATTTTGATAGGAAATTAAGTTAGAACAAGCACATTGCAGAAATAATTGAAAATGGAAAAAAAAAAAAATTATTAATGTCCTTAAAATGATAAACATGAACACCAAATGGAGCGTGGACCCAAATATATCTTTATTATTTTATAAGTCTACTATAAGGGCAATATTTGACTATGGGGTGGTTATATTCAGTGAAGCTAATGATATGCTTTTTATAAGAATTTTATAAGAATATGCTTAGGTGTCCTTAAGCCCATCCCAATACTTTTTATGTTTATTTTTACTTAGGCCAGGTATAATACTTTAATTTTGTACTTTTTTGTTATTCTAAAGGGACTTAGTCCCAGAATAAAATTATTTTCTATTCTATTCTATTCTAAGGTTCAACTATGAAATGAAAATTAATTTTATTCTGGGACTGAAGTTCCCTTAGAATAATAGCGAGTTCAAAAAATATGTGCATCAGTCTGGCATGTAGAAATAATACAAATATATACAAAAAAAAAAAAAAAAAAAAAATAAATAAGGAAAATACAAAAAATACTAACGAAAAGACAAATATATATATACAAAAATACTAAGGAAAATACAAATATATACAGGACATACTTATTGAAGATAAAGTAAATAAATAAAAATAAAATGGCTCTTATCAATTAACTGCTAATGAGCAACGTAATTATACAACCTAAAAATTCTTACAAGCTTGAGTTAGTAGTAGGTGATGGAATAAGAGTTGAGTTTATTTTAGGAGTTTGAAGGAATTTATGGATGTAGTTTGACATATGGAGATGGGTAAGGTGTTTTATGGGAGAGGATAAATAGATCTATAGGTAGAGATCTGGTATTAAGAGAGTGGATAGAGGAACGTAGAGTAAGAAATTCTACGATGTAAGGAGAAGGAACTGCCATCAGGAAGCAGGATAAAGCCACTTCAATTCGGTTTACAAACAGGAAACAGGGGAACGCCGGGAAATCCCAAAGATGAATCTTATGAAGCAATTCATGAGTCTCTTCAGTGTCACCTCCAGTCTTGTGTACAACCCTCCATACACCAAGCAGCCGTGGTCGAATTGGGGGAAAACAAGGGATGTTACAATGAGCTGTCTGGTTTTTTCGGAATAGAATCACGGAATCGTTTAAAGATAGTTATGGATTTACCGGTAATCTGGGAAATGTGTTTATTCCAATAGTGGTTCTGATCAAAGATCACTCTGAGGTTTTTGATTTTCAGAAAGAAATGGATTAGGTGGTTATTGAGATAAAGTAGAGGAGAGAAATAAAGGGAACTAATGAGGTGCCTGGAGCCGATGAGGATAGCCTTAGCTTTATCCGTGTTCAGCTTTAGTTCATTTTTTTCTGCCCATCTGTGTATACAGTCAGTATCCTCTTGTAGTTTTCAGTTAGCCTCAGGCATCTCAAAAGGTTAGAAAGATAAGTAAATTTGATGTAAGTGCATGTAAGTGATAGTGGGAGTAATGAATGGAGTCAGGAAGGTCATTAATATAAATCGAGAAAAGAGCCGAGAGGGAAAAGAGAAGAGAGAGTGAAGAGCCCTGAGGAATATCTCATGATAATTGAAGGGATGAGGAGGTAGATTTGTTAAGAATGACAACTGACTGGGAGCGATGGGATAAAAAGTAGAGGAACCATTTTAGAACGCTGTTCCATATGAGGAAGCTTTTGAGTTTGGAAAGAAGAATATTATGATTGACAGAATCATAGGCTTTTGAGAAGTCGAAAAGAACAAGGAAAGAGATTGCAGGTCTTGGGTAATCTTTAACAAGGCAGATTGGGTGAAGTATTGGTAACGAAAACTGGATTTGTAAAGGATTGAGTTATTCAACTGATAGTGAATTAATCTTTCTAGAGGCTTGAATAAATTGGATAAAATGGAAATGAGTCTGAAGTCAGAAGCTAATGAAGGAGCACTATGGTGTAGCCCATTCCACAGATGTGCACCTTACTGATGGGACAGCAACTTATACTCTCCATGTTGCATATCCAGTCCTCCTGGTCCTTTGCTTCTGTCCTTGTCCTCCTTTGCCCCTATGATATCATCAGTATCTCTCATTCTGATGCCTCAAGTGCCTTGCTAGCACACTGGACCAAATATATGTCTTAATATTTTCCTTTTGAAGACCGTTAGGTTTAACTGGACTACAGATTTCAGGATCCATGTTTCCTGTACTCCATCACATCCTATTCATCCATAAATATCTTTTTAAATTAAGCTTTAAAAAGATTTTTGTTTGCGGTGTCCGGTTGATCTCAGTTTGATTATCATACGGTTAAGTAATAAATTTTGTTTTTATAAGCCATCTACCATAATTATACCTTTATTTTATACTATTACCATTTATAGTGTTATGCCAATGTTATTAAGTTGTTTTAAAGCTTTCCATTTTCATTTTCTTTACAGGAGAAATTGATGAAAAAGACGTATTACCTAACTTAACAGTTAAAAGATCATTTGTAGCTAGAAATACTGGTGCTCTGCCTCTGACAATTATTGATTTTACAATCAGTGGTCATTCTTGTAGAGCATTTGGTTTTAGAGTCATTAATTGTCAACCATTTATTTTACTTCCGAATTCATCAAGAAAGGTATCAGAAAACAAAAAGAAATAAAAAAGTATTATTATATACTTTTAGTAGTTTGGATTTTAAATTTATGAATATTTAACTCCGAAATTTTCATTGTTTTTTTCAGATTGACATAGCATTTACACCAGATTTTACCCTTTCTCGGATAACCCATACTTTAACAGTGTTAACTCTTGATGCTGCTGTAAATTATACATTAACTGCTACACTCCCATCGTATATGCTCTCATTATGCAGCAGTGTTATAAAACGTCCTGGCTGGGAACCTCTTGTATATTATTCTTCCGTATCATTTATGTTATTTCTTCTTATATGTGTCTTGGCAGCATCTTTTTTCGAATCTAATAGGATATTAAGAAATACCATAATTACTTTATCTCGAGAAAGCAATGTTCAGCCTGTTTTGGATTTAAGGTATATAGTATATAATTTTATATATTTAAAATTATTTCACAGTTGTATTGATTGATTATTTAAATTATTATTGTCCTTTAGGTTTTTTTTTTCATTAGCAATGAAAATAAGAGCCTTCTCATACATTTCCTGAGCCTAAGTTAATTTCTTGGAATGAGAGTGCATCTTATCTTTCATGAAGTTATTTATAGAGTATAATATAATTTCAGTACTATCAATTTACTAAACAGGGGCCTATTATTTAGATTTTTTCTTTTTATATAGCTTAAAATTGATAGATGCTTTGCAATAAAGTGTTAGTATCATGGGGCTTTGAGAACTGATGTAGATTTCTTTGATTTATTTTTAAGCTCAAGTTCAGTGTATTTCTTATTTTTCATAAGTTAAAGTCATCACTTATCTATAGAAGTATGAGAAAAAGAAGGTTTGTTAGGAATAATAATCGTTAATGAACATTGAGTTAAGAATAAACAAAACTTATTCAAAATACTGTTATTTAAATAGAAGTTATGGAGTTTGAAGAGGATATTGTAATAAAATGTACTTCAAAGGCATTTGAGAAATTGAATAGAACTAGTTAGTTATTTTTGGTTATCTGTGGAGGAATGAAGGTCTTGGGTAATTTTTAGCATGTCTTACCTTTTGAATGATTTTAATATATTAGAGAGAACGCAGATAGACCCGATGCCAGAAATTGTGGAAGGGGCAGGTAATTTATTCAGTTGATGACATTTTTTAGGCTGTAGGAAAAATGGAATTTTTATGGCAAAAAACTTAATTATCCCATGACAAATTTTATATTTTTCATCATAGTGGATATATTGTCATAGATGAAATATCGCACAAATAATAAGAAGTCTTATTTTGTTTACGCTAAGTTCTTTACGGATATGTAAAGACAAGGTAACTCAGTCTTGCCCTGTGCCACCATACAACAGGTAAATATAAGAGCACAGGTCTAATCGCTGTGACATACAGGCAGTAGATCATCGATAGTTTAAATCTCCATGCCTTCCAAACAGCATTTTTAAATGCCCAAAGGCATTTTAGTGCTTTATTAGTTGTGTACTCCACATGACTGTTCTACAACATTTTATTGTCCAGCATAACATCTAAGTGTTTGATTTTACTTAATGTTAGCTGGATACAATTAATTTTAGGTAATCTTACTTCAACCTTTTTCTTCATTGTGAAGATGCAAACGTCTATCTTGGACGGGTTGACATTCAGTCCACTGGACCGACACCATCCCAAGACTCTTGTCGCAGTCCTCAACAGATCAGAAAGAACATTTTGATGTTTTCCGCCTATAAGAATAGACGCATGCATATCCTTGTGCATGAAAGCCTTCTTGGCTCCTTTCCGACTGGCTAAGGATCTAATATCCGGCAGATCCTCAGAGTCGCCGTAATTAGGGGTTTTAACTTTGATTCCTTCCAGGACCTCCTCCTCTTCCTGTGGCATCGAAGTTTCATCTAGTCTATGCTCTTTTAAGACCTTGAAAGTGACATGACACCAGCCGCCACCAGCCTTCATGCCATGTTTCTTAAGGCTTTCTAAGCTGGAGTCCGATATTCTGAAGATGGCAAAGAATCCTTTATCCATTTATTTTAAGTAGTGGAGATAACATTCATTGATACCATCAATTGTGGTATTCTGCGTCTTTTGATTAAAGTCTCTTCAGTAAGTACCTTCCCCGGAAAGAAGGCACCTACCTACCTTGAAGTTTTTGTGAGCACCTGAGTATCCGAGCATGAACCCTATGGCAGGTTGATGCACGGAATTATCTTGGCCAGCCAAGTGCTTGTTTCGTTGTTCATGCAAGAGACAATACCTCTCCCTATTTTATAGCTTACGCCTTCAAAAAGTGGGTGGTACTCTCCGTTTTCATTAATCTCATCCACCTTATCGGCGATGAGTTCTTTTAGTGCTTCTACTTGTTCATGGCTCAGCATAGCTAGCGGATAGTTCGTAGGAACCACTGCAACCAGCTGACCTCTCAAGGCTGAGGCATAACTCTTCTGACTGCCTCTCTGTGCTTCTTGGCACTAGGTGCCGAGGTGCCCAGAGGGTTTTTTTTTTTGTCTTTTGTCCTTCTTTGAAGCTAGCCCAAGGACCCCCACAGCCTTAGGTATCGGGTCTCAAGAGACCCCTACGTCTTTAACTGGTGGCCCAGAGAGTGGCTCCATTCGGGTAAAGTATCACACAGGATATTGTACAGCGGGCAATTCGGCCTTGGAAGCTAGGCCATGTTTGACCTTTGCACTGTTAGCCTCCTGCCCACCACTAGGTTCTATGATCTTGGCCTTGTTTGCAGGATCTGGGATGACCCTTGCTTCCTTAGCCGAGTGCTCTATTGTAGGATCCGATTCGGGATGTGACTTTATGATTTTGGCAGCAACTCTATTCCTCCTTTGCTGCCTTCTCATTGTTTTTGATAGTTTCAGTGTGGCAGGGACTGCCTCTTTTGGAGCAAGTCCTCCGCCTACCACCTGAACATTTGACACATACAGTTGAGCCTGCTAATAGACTCATTTCTTGAAGGTTTTGTGGAGGTAGGGCAACAGCTCGAGCCTTGGCTGTGTTCACCCTCCTAATCTCCTTACCTTCATAACATACTTGAAGTCCCTCTACTTCAGTCCTGAAAGATCTAAAAGTATTTCCCATCGAGGGTGATATCTAAAAAAGGTCCTGAAAAGTCGAGGTATTTAGGTTCCATGGAAGAAGAATCTTCCTCGGAAGAAAGGATTTGTCGAATTGTTTGTTTGGTTTTTGTTGTTTTGTTTGGATCCTGCATTTGGTTCCCACAAGTAGGGGGGAAAATAGACTGTAGGGACTGCCCCTTCTCCCTACAGCAGGGTTCTTACAGCTGGTGTTGCCTGGTGCCCCAAATGGGTCGATATAAGACAGTAAATTTTTATACACCCTCTGCCACCCTGCCTCAGCTCGAGCTCCCTCAACCTAGTAGGACCATCAAAACTATCATAAGATAAAAGCGAATGGTCCCCGTGTCTGTCGTTCGTGAGTCCCTTCGGACTCCCTGGGGAGTCCCAACATGGAGGTGACAGTAGGCGTTGATAGGGATAAGGAGGTCTGGGAACCCACATGCAGTGGATAGGGCACTTTAACATGTTTATTCCCCAAAGAATGGAGAGACACCCACATCCATCTCCCTCTCTAGACCTCCCATTACCCTACCCATTTGCCCCCCTGACGTAAGTTACTACAGGACGAATCATAGTCTTGTACACCACTTCCCATGCTTATCTTGACATACCATGGAATTTAAGTACCTGCTGAAGGGAAAAAACTTCTTCCTTGCCCATAACTAAGTTTTTGTCTTTATTCTAACAAAAGCTGAGGCGAGATTTAAAGCCTTCCTTCTCGAGTTTATCCCAGATTCTTTTCTTCTGCCTGCAGATCTTCTTTGCTTCTTTTCTCTTGTCACTATACTCCGTGGCTGTACTTCTGGTGTGAAGCTGAATCGTCCTATGCCTGGCCTCATTCCTTGGTTCGAGTTTTGTCGTGCATTCATCATCGAGCCAGTTGTTTCTTGCTTGGCTAGGTCTTTTGCCTAGCTCCTCCAAATCTGCTATGTTTAAGGTTCCTTTCAGATGTGTACACCTTGAGGGGAGATTGTTTATTGCCCCATTACTTCCAAGTAGCTCAGGTACTCTCGTGACAAATATTTGTCTTGTACCTTCGTCCTTCAGCCAATTCACATCAATGCCAGGCGGAGGCTCTTCTGCTCTTCTTCGGTTCTTCAACACAATTTTTTGCATATATTTTATTTTGACTAGATGGTGGTCTGATCCATACACTGCTCCTCTACAGCTTCGGATGTCTTAAATATCCGTAACATACCTCGACTAAATCAAGACATGATCTATTTGATTTTTGTCCTGCTATTACCCTGTCCCAATTCATAAAAATGATTGTTTTATAGGGCCGGGTCATTAACCCCTGACCCCCAACCTGGAGGACCTGGAAATTTTTGATCGACGTTCTCTTCCTCTAGACGTGTTGTCTTCACTACGATTGTAGTTAGGTCTACTCTGTGCTAGTTTTGGTCCACCCCGGATATTTCATTTCCTTGGTACCATCCATATCTGGGAGGCATTCCTTCCCCTATTTGCCACCTGGGGAGGCACCCGATGGAGGACTAGCAACCCAAAATGGCATACGTATAAACATATAATATATATGTTTAAATGTATGTGTAGTATGACAATAAATTTATTTTTTCAGTTATTGATTATTGATTCAATAAGATAATGAACATATAATATATGTTAAAATATATAAAATGTTAAGATATAATAGCTTGTATTAATGAATGATTTTTGATATATTCAGAGAACTTTGAACATTGATATTGAAAGTAATTATGTATTTTTGTACTTGGACAATGAAATTTATTTTTAATTTAGAATGATCGGTTCTGATGTCTCTGGGACTGAGCAAACTTCTTTACAAACTGAATCGCAGTGCAAAATAATTTGGACATCTAATTCCTACAGAGACGATCAGGTACTAAAAAATTATTTCTATTCATATTTTAATCTTAGTAAGTTTTTAATTATTCATTTTTGTTCTTTAAAATTTCTTTATCCATAGTCATTTATTGCCTCTTCAGCCTATCCAGTCTCTACAATAAATGTTCTCCTTAATACCATCACCTACTTCTATGACCATGATGATGTGCCACTTGTTCTTCTTCCTTCTTCGTTCTCATATATTTGTTAAGATAAACAAATCTTATTTATCCTGATAACATGTCCAAAACATTTAAGCTGCTGCCCTTTATATTGGCCACTGATTGAATTTGCATTATAATGTTCTTTATTGGTTTTCAAAGTTTATTTTCAATTTTCCTAAAATATCTTATTACTTTTTTAGATTAATCCCCAACATCTGCCTGAGTGTAGCAATTTGGGATAGATGATGAATTTTAATATAGCTTTCATTGAAATTTATTCTTCTTTTTTTTTTTATTGTACATTTTTTGGATAAGAAAATAAACTAACTACTTGAACTCCTTCGCTCATTTCTTTTTCTTGTTATCTTCATTAAAGTGAGATCTTATGAACTCAAGATATGTAACTCATTCCACTATCAAGAGTTAATACAACTAAAAAACCATATTATGTTTGCAGGAGATAAATAATTGGGAAACAAAAATGAATGGAGAAAAATCTAAGACTATGACCATAAAACATAAAAGCAAACATAATATGTTGAAGGAATTTAGTCGATTATTGCTTATGGGATACATTTCTAACGTTAAATAAAATATTCATGTAAACATTTATACAACAGATAGTAACTTGAATATCTTATGTGTTATCTTAAAAGCACATCTGGGTAAATTCCTCCCCGAACTCTCCCACTTACCTACTTATGTTTGCTTTTATGTCTTATGGTCATAGTCATTTTTATTTACACTCTTATCAACACTCTATTTTTATCTTACATTCTTACCGTTTTTACCAAATATTATAATGTCATCTGCAAGTTTTCAACTTAACAGGCTAATAGTACTCCTTTTAGGTATTACAATAATGCTTGTTTGCCAACTCAGATAGGCTGATTTGAGGTTTTAAGGGCATTTGAACCCATCAAAAAGTTCAAAATTTTGGGGCATTCAAAGCAAATTTTCTCCTACAACTCAACAAAACTAGGTAGACTGCAGATCACAGAAAACGTTGTCTGCCAATCCAAACTGATCAATTACTTCGAGTAGACGCAGATCAAAAACAAGTTTTGGACTTAAATTTCGGGACATTTTAAGCAAATTTTCTTTTATACATATCAAAACTAAGTGAATTGGGGGTCACAGAAAGCATTCTCTGCCAATCCAAAGTGGTTGATCACGCAATCATGATTGAGCAAACATGTCTCAAAATTATACTTTTGGGGGGAGGAAGGGGTGAAATTCGGGCAATTTTTAACAGATTTTCGCTTATATCCATCAAAACTAGGTGGCCAGGTGTTGAAAAAAAAATCATCATCTGCCAATCCAAAGTGGGCAATTACATCGAGCAAATGCGACTCAAAGACACACAAAAATGTCTAAAAAGAGGGTGAAATTCGGGCCATCTTTATAAATCATTTTAAATACTATGAAAACATTTTTTGTTTTCATTAAAATGATTAAAATCTTATAGAGAGAATAACACTGCCTTTCTAAACATTGATTTCTGATTCAGATTCCCCTCTATTTAAAATTAAATTTTTTTCAGGAAACTATTGGCTGTAACATAATTTTACCTTATTAAAGACCCTTTAAAGTTTTTTCCTTTTTTTTATTTACCTCTAAAAAAAGTTACGTACAGAACATGTTCACTTTTGTTATTGTTATTTTAGTTTCACACTCAACAAAAATTTCCACTTTAAAAGAAATCAAGAAAGAAATGATAGTTATGTTTTTGAGCAGCTTCAAAATTAGCCCAGCAACCTTGTCATGAAAAGGCGGCTCTAAGTTACATCAAATGGGGGTAGAAGGTTTCTTTTTTTTTTCTTGCATGGGGTGTGACTGAGATACAAAATCCAAGTTTTTGACCTCGACGCCACCCCCTCCCCACCCCGGTTCACTTTTTAAAACCCCCAAAACTACTATATTTTTTGTACTTTTTCGGTTTTTCCCTATTTTGACCATGAAGGAGCACATTTTAGACAAAAACCATTCTACACAGTTTTAAACTAGATTAAATATGCTACAATTTATCACCAGAACAAGCCCAGTAAATAAAATAGTTTACGAGATACAGATTTTCAAATTTTAGAAAATTTTAAGTTATTTTTCCTGTTTGATCATATGCACTTGTCTTTATATCTTCAATAACCTGTCTTATATGATTCAGTGAAGTAAATTTGTATTCATTTTAACATTTTGAAGGAGGGGTGAGGGAGGAGGGGAGGTTTAGGATCTCTTTTCATAACCAGAAGACGGAAATCGAAATAAAAAAAATATTTAGCCAAGATTTACATCAATTGTATACCAAAATAGTAAATGAAGTAAATGTTATTTTTGAAACTTGAAAATGTTAAGCTAATTTCATGTTTATGTCTTCAATAACCTGCCTTATAAGAGTTAGTGAAGTAAAGATTTATTTAAGTCATTATTTTGAAGGAGTAGGATACATGGATATAGGAATGGTTAAAAATAAGTGAGCTAGAATGGCCTAAGTCATTTATTGCGTTCGATCTTTTTCGTAGGCACCTACGCCAGTGCCGCATTCCCACCGATTAAGTCCATTTTCTTAAGAATTGTTTCAAATATATTTCCCATCCCCATCGTCGAGGTGATGTTACCTGGGCAGCATCTGATGTAGAGGTATTTCCCAACCACCTTTCCTATACTTTCACTCCTCATCCTGAATCTCATCCCACTCATACAGTAAAAATAGAAGAATTCCTCTCTTCACCTATCCCACTCTCCTTATCATCTAAAGCAGTGAATCCATCTGAGGTCAAATACCTTTTAAGCAAAATCACTCCTTGTAAATCTCCTGGATACGACCTTATAATCCCACAGATCCTTCGACAACTACCACCCAAATCCATCATATTTCTAACATATATATACAATTGTATCCTGCAAACTACCCACTTCCCTCTCTAATGGAAACATTCCACCATGATCCTTTTCCTGAAACCAGGCAAGTCTTCCAATAATACATCATCCTATAGACCAATTAGCTTACTCCCAATCCTTTAAAAAAATTTTGAAAAGATCCTACTGACAAGAATTCTACCCATTATGGAATCCCAAAAAATCCCTACCCATCAATTCAGATTTCTCCCATCAATTCTCCACATCAATTGTCAATTCTCAACATTCCACCGTCTGAGGACTCCGACTTGTTGACCACATATCAGCACCAGAAAAGACAATACTAAAACCCATCTGGACCTACAGACTCAAACTGTGGGGGACAACCAAATTCTCTAACATAAAACGCATTCAATCCTTCTAGTCTAAAGTCCTCCGTACAATAGTTGATGCTCCCTTCTATGTAACCAATAAAACCCTCCATAATGACCTTAATATTCCACTTATTCTTCATCTTACCTCAGACAAATTCTCCAAATTTCATCAGAACCTTATTCATCATCCAAATCCCATATCACAGTCCCTATCTAGCACCACCCATCCCTACAATCCTCATCGCAGGTTAAAATGGCAGTGGTCCCGTGACTTGAATGTATTGGAGTTCTTGCAATGGCCAGATTCTTCACTCAAATCTTGAGTATCTGTGACTGTAGCACCCTTACTCAGCCTCCGCTGGCTTTTAATACCAGCGAGGTGGTTGAGGGAGAAGCACAGGGATCTCCTTAAGCCTCGAAAACTAGATCCCTCCACAAGTGGTGGGACAAGTCTGGTTTGGAGTTCCCTGGCTGATTATAAATAGTGCATATAGGTATGCCTGTGTCTAAGATGTTTATTTTATTTTTTAAGAACATTTCATTTCATTTTATTTTATTTATTTATTTTAATTTTATTATTATTATTATTTTCTTCCCTCATTATGATATTTTATTTTGTTCTTATTTCACTGTATATTATTTTGTTATTACCTTATTTATTTATGATTCTGTAAATATGTTGTGAACATGCTCTCTGAACTCTATTACATGTATCCTTAATCGAGACAGTTTGTAATATTTATCAATAAACAAGGAAATTTTAAAAAAATAAATAAATAGAGGTGATTCTGAACCAGAAATCTATGATGATGAATGCATTGACATTTTCTCTTTACTTCCCATGATGATTGACAATGATAATAATTTCCATTAATTAGTAACTTAGTATTTATTTTTTAACAGTTAAATGACTCAGATAGTTAAATATTTTTTTTTATTATTTTTTGAAATTGCACTTTACGTTAACTTAGAAGATCCGCATTATTCAATAACCTCACTTCCATTCCTGTATAATCGGAAAATCAAAACACAATAAAGTATACAGGGTATCCTGTAAGTAGAGGGAAATATTTAAAAGGTTCATAGTAGACATCAAGATCTGCAAAAAAATTCATATAAACAATTGCCCTATTTCCAGCAGTAAAGTAGGAAATTTAAGGTATGTGATTTTTTAAGGGAGTCACGTTTTTTGATAAATAGGAAGTGATAACTTGAAAAATGTTTGATTTAAGTAATTAAACATTGCTCTATAGTAAGCTAGAAAAAAATTACTTTAAAAGAGAGTAGAGTTTGTCATTGTTAAAACTATTTAAAGAGGACTATTGGTCAGACAAACACTAAAGTTTATTAGTTTAGTTTATCGGAGTTAAGGTTTATTAGGGTAAATTTTGAGATTCACCTCAAATTGTATAAAGAAATGATGTGATTTCCTATCCAGGCAACTTAAAATAACCCTTTTTTTCGGCAAAAATGGCATCAATTAACTGTTGCAAAGCTTTTATTTCTTGTTTTTCTGTGGTATGGGATGTGTTGTAATATACATAATTACCTAAAAACACTGTTATTTATATATATAAAGTAAATTTAAAAATAATGATTTTTTTAATAATTTTCACATAAAGTGGTTATGGCACTGTGTTTTTCTCCCAGATCTTCCTCATAGGAATTTATATGTATTTATCAGTGACAAATTTAAGGTTTCTTACTAAAATTTATGTTTAAAATAATGAAACCTACTGTTTGCTTCAATTGTGTTCACAATATTAGGGCTTGAAACATTAAAAATCATTATTTTTAAATTTATTTTATATTCCCCATTACGACGTTCCCGAGAAGAGTTGGTAACAGATAGAGATCATTATCTACGGAGGCCTTGGTGGGAGCACCAGTAAGAAGGCGAAGATAAATATCGGTACCTACCAACATGTTGATAGGACCCGAAGGACGGGTCTGCCAAAACATGGGTCGACAGTTCACGAACCAACCCAGCAGGCAAGGGGCGCTTTGGTATATCGGATGTAATCCGGTCCATCACCAAAGCGCGCACCTTGAAATTCGTACGGTCATCGAGGGTCGTGCCGAGCCTACACGTAATGTACCGTATAATTTTTCCGACTGGACTGTCACCCAAACCCAAAATCGTGCCGTCGAAAGGATGCATCGGGTTGCCAATGCGAGCTGCAAGCTGAGAGGTAATGATCGTGTACTGGCTGCCAGAGTCCAGCAACAGTCGCGCCGAGGCATCACGTTTAGATCCGGACAGCACCGCTTGTGCCGTGCCCACTAGTGCCTCAGAAGAGGAGTCAGACGAAACAGAGGCGCCGCGAGCGTGACCGACGAAATCGCCCGCCTCCACGGAAGTTTCGTTGGTGTTCGAATCTGAACGATTTTTCTTATGCAGCAAGCTATGGTGCTTTTCGCCACAAAAAGTGCACGTATATGCGGAAGAGCATTCCGAACTTCGATAACCGGATCTAAGACAGTTGTATATATGATGCTCACATAATATTGACAATAAAAGTTGTGGATGAAAATCCAACAATAAGAGAGATATTACAGAACGTATATACATTGTATGTATTAAGTGTTCATACTTAATTCATTAACTATTTGAATTTCTATAAATATGAATACGAAGATAGGTATTATCAGTATCAGACTTATTAGTGTTCGGATTATAAACATTGGTAGATAGCAGTCTGTCCTGACCAGCTAAGTCACAAGTACAGTACCGCTTTAAGTTTAAAGTGATTGTTTTATACATTTAATTATACATATACTCCTCCAACAGGAAATGATGTATTGCACTTATCATCAATTAAAGAAAATTTAGGTATTTAAATGCCTGTGCAGAATAATATGATTGAGTTGTTAATGTTTATCTACTAAATTTACAAAAAAATATAATCTTAAGTGATATTTTAGTAAGTAATAATAAATATGTTTGCAGTTATGTCATATAACAGCTATCTGATTGTTTATTAGTACCAGATTGGCTGCATGGTTTTTGTTGGAATAACCCAAATCGTGTTTTAAAAGGTGTCTGCTTGGTGTAATCGACCACTTTGGATTGTCAGATGATGTTTCTGTGACCCCCTGTCAACGTAGTTTAGATAGATATAAGTGACAATCTGTTTAAAATTGGTTAATTTCATCCTCCAAAAGTATTCTTTTGAGTTGCGTCTTCTCGGCGTAATCAACCACTTAGGATTGGCGTATGATGTTTTCTGTAACCTCCAGTCAACCTAGTTTTATCAGGTGTAGGAGAAAATTTGCTTAAAATGCCCCAAAATTTTGAACTTTTTGATGGTTTCAAATGCCCCTAAACCTTAAATCCTAGCCTGTCTGAGCTAGGATAATACCTAAAAAGTATAATTGATGCCATAAATAATATCTAATATTTATTTTTATATAGATGTGAAGTTATCTTTAATTAAAGGTTTCATTTTCTATAAATTTTGATTACTGTCTTACAGAGATGAAAAACTTTACTTTAATCACAAAAATAATACGTAATATTAGGTTTAAAAGATTTAAGTATTCTATTTTTAATATTATATTTAATTCTAGCTTTCTATTGTCAAAACTAATTTTATAATCACTAGAATTACTTACTTGAATACTTGAATTTTGTATGTTTAAATATTACACACCTATTTAATATTATGTGGTTTCTGTTTAAAACAACTCTGTTACAGATTAATAAAGATATCCAAAAACCTATCAGTGAAAGTATTTTTACTATCAACTGCAGTAACAAATGTCAAATTCTAAATAATGGAATAAATTGTAAAAAGAAGGCTGAGCGAACAATCTGTAAAAGATTTTCTGATGGATCTGAAAATTACATTGAAAAGACATGTTGGGAAACTTCTTTTAGCAGGTATTTTTTAAATTTGTTTTCATTTTGTGTTAAAAAAAGGTTTAATTTATTTATAATTTATAGTTTAATTTATTTATAAAACAAAATTTATTTACTTACTTCTGTGGCTCTACAGCTCTTGAAGGGCCTAGGTCTCCATAACAATGCCTCTCCAATCCACCTTATCAGCGGCTTCTCCACTGTCCAATTCCCATATTCTACAAACTGTCCTCCACTTCATCAATCCATCTTGGTCTGGGCCTTCCTCTCCTTCTTTTGTCTCCTAGTGTACCATATAATAGTCTTTTCTGGCATCTATCTTCACAAATCCTTTCTACGTGCCCAAGCCATCTTATACGGCTTGATTTAATATAATTGACTATGTCTGGTTCTTTATACAGTCTTTGAAGTTCTCTATTATTTCTTATTTTCATATTGGCGCAAAGATTTGTCGAAGGACCTTCCTTTCCCAGATCCAGAGGATGTTTTCGCATTCCTGTGTCAGGACCCATGTTTCACCTGCGAAAGTTACAATTGGTCTCAAGATAGTTTTATAAACTAGTAGCTTTGCCTTCTGTGACAGGTTTCGAAAATGCAACGTTTTCTGTAATGAAAAAATACGATTCTTGCTTTAATTTCTACTGTGATGTCATTTTTGTCAACGTTCCAAGATATTTGAAACGGCCAGCTTTCTTAAAAGTGTGGTGGGGCAGTTGCATGCTATTCTGTCCCTCACTTTTTGAGGATATGATATATTGAGTTATTTATTTTAAGACCCAAGTTTTTCTAGCATCTTCGGACTCCTGTAAAGTGCCTGATAGTGCAGCTTTAGATCTTGACGATATTAGCACATCATCAGTATAGGCCAAGTGTTGGGTAAGTCTATTATATATTGTTTCTCCTGGATTTGTCTTAATTGCTCTGGTCACTTGCTCCAATGCAATATTGAATAATGCAGGGGAGAGAGGATCTCCTTGACGTAAACCATTCTCTATCTCAAATTCTTCTGACAGAGTGTTCTGTAGTCTCATTCTGCATCTGGTTTTTTCAAGGGTCATCGCACTCAATCCTACTAGCTTTTCTGGAACTTCAAGTGCTTTCATTACTTTAAGCAGTTCATTCCTATTGAAGCTATTGTATGGTTGGTGGAAATCTATGAAGAGGCGATAGAGATCAATATTATATCCATATGCCTTCTCCAGCATTTGTTGTATAGAGAAGATATGGTCTATTGTACTTCTTCTTGGTCAAAAGCCACTTCGGTATTCACCAATATTTCTCTCTGCCCATGTCATAATTCTTCTGTTTATGGCAACTTGTAGACAGTGTAAGGCAGGGTGATACCTCAATAGTTTTGGCAGGTTAACTTGTCTCCCTTCTTAAGTATTGGTCTCAAAACTACCACCTTCCAATCCTGTGACATCTTCATTTCCATCCAGACATCATAGATTAGGTTGTAAATCTCTTCCACCAGTGCTTTGCATCCATATTTCATAATCTCATTCGGAATATTCCAGGAGCTCTGTTATTATGGAGTGCTCTTATTATTTCATTTATTTCCTCTCTGTCTGGTGTTATTTCTTCTACCTCGAAAGCCATTGAGTCTCTTTCATACCGGTGCAGTTTGTCTTTATTGGTTGATGATGGTGTGTCATTGTTTAGTAGTTCGGCGAAAAACTGCTTCCATCTTTTCAAAACAGATATTTTATCTCTTGCCAGATTCCCCTCTCTATCTTTAATGAATCCCAGCCTTGGTATAAAGCTATTCCGAAACTCTCACATGCTTTTTATTATGTTTTCAATTAACACACTTCTTGAAGTACATTTACTTTATTCATAACAATGAGAAATCCAAAAACAAGATTTGTCCAACTCATAATAAAAACACATGACCTGCTATAACCTTCTCTCCCAAAGAGGTAAATAACACCTCTCCCTCCCCAGAGAGAATTTAATTTAAGATGAATTATCAATAAAGAAATAAATTTGTTTTATTGTGAACCGTCAACAATTGAGGCATCCGCGATACTTTCCCGGTATTTATTTTTCTTATGATGGGTGCCTCGGAAAGTGATGTAGTCTCTGGCGGCAGGTCAGGCTCATCTGTGCCAGGCACCTCTGGCTCAGGTTCATTTGGGCCAGACATATATAGCTCAGGTACTTCTAGCTCAGGCTCATCTGGCTGAGGGACATTACAGTGGCTTAATAATACTGTGTGGTAATACGGATGGGGCGGCCATATTGGATCGGCAGGAAACTAATATTTGAATAGTCTCTCTTTGTTATTTCAATTTAAAAAGTAATTATTGTAACAAACTATTAACTAGAATGGTTTGAGAGATAGAATTGAAGTTGGGCAAGTTGAATGAAGCATATGAATCACTTATATCAAGTGAAAATAAATAATAAAATCAAAGAACAATATTTTGTTTTTTCTTATTTAACTTCTTTCAAAATATATTTTGAATATATATTATATGAAATATAAATACATTTGGCCAGATGTGATATTTTAATTTTGTTCTATTTTGTTATTCTCAAGGGACTGTATCCCAGAATAAAGTTATTTTTCTATCTATCTATCTATAAACTTTGCTATATTGCGATTTCCATTTTATTCATCTAATTCTCTCATTGGTAAATTTCACAAATAAATTTATATAATTATTAAAACATTAAACAAAAACTGAGTGAAAATTAACTTTCATTGGAAAACCAGAAACTCAATTCTAAGTCAGCAATCATGAAACTATTTTTATTTTCATTTTTAATATTCTCCTTTGAAAAAAACAAAACTTTAAATAAATTTAAATTATTTAATGTAAATTTAATAAATATAAATTATTTAATGTAAATTAAATAAATATAAATTATTTAATGTAAATTTAATAAAAATAAATTATTTAATAAATATAATTTATTTATTTTTACTTTGTCACTTGTAACTGAACACAACTAGTGTTGCCCTAATGCGACGGGTCTTGGTCTTGCTCAAGTCTCGCAACAGTCTTCCAGTTACCTATTACCTTATTATTATAGAGATATTACTGTAATTTTTCAGATATGGGAAACCTAACTAAGCCCAAATGAAAAATTGAGTGTTAAATTCCAAAGGATTTTGGTTATACCAATTCTTTACATATGCTAACTAAATTTCTCTAGTTTTAGTGAATATTTTACCTCAATTCTTATTCATAAAAGGATTTTTTTTTACCAGTCTTGGTCTTGGTCTTGCAACAGTTAGGCGGCCTTAGATCGATTTTGCACAACACTAACTATTATATATCCGCTATTATTACAAAATTTAAAATGATCAAAATTTGATCCTCAATCAATAAATTAATTTCTGATCATTGATATAAAGTATTTTTTATGAAATGGTTTACCTCTTACCATAATGTAGATATTGTATATTGCATCTAAAGTAGACAAAAAATTGATCATTTTACTTTTAATCCTGTTAAAGGTGGTAGGATAGTATTTATTTCGGAGTGGTATAACTTATAATTGTATAATTTGGAAATTTCTGTTTACCAATCAATATCAATATACCTGTTATCAATGAAATGGATTAATAATCATAATATGATTAATTGTAGTAATGTTCGCCACACCTGAATTTTTCATTAGTCCAGAATCTAAGCTTTTCCTTGTTTTATTTATTTTTCATTACTTTTTAGGGAAATTAGAGATTGTTGGCTATAATATATTTTCAATTTTATCACACAGGATATACCAAGTAAAAATAACTAATAGTGAAACATAAAACTGTAAGGATAAAATACAATCAATTATCAATTGATTGAAGAACTATCCAATTTAAATTGAAAAAGAAAACATTTTTAATCAACAAAGGAATATAAAAAAAAAGAAGATAAAACAGAGAATATTTAATTATTTACAAAGGAATTTAAATTTATAAATGCTCCACATATACATTTATAGATTTACTGCTAAAAACAGACAAATGAAGGAAAAATTCTAACTGAATTTATTTTAAGTCTAAATACAATAAATCTCTTAAGAATATTTGATTATACCAATACGATTGATTTGTATTCTATACTCATAACTATACTCATATTTTAATGGTGAAAGTAACAATAACTATAAAGGAAAACCAAATTTTAATTTTAAACTAGTAACTACTAACTTCAAGATAAAAATTGTGTTAGCTAGTAGCCTCGAACTATAGACACTATCTTCATATAACCAAGTTTCAAACTTGATTTCCATCTTTTTCTTTCACTACCACGGAATTAAAAAGGAAAATTAATAAAATAAAGTAAATAATTAAAGTATACTAACAATTTTAAGTCTATGAAGAAGAAACCAAACTTATCACTTTAAACACTACTATGTGTAACTATTAAATAAAAACTACCTATTAGTAAACTAAATATATTACTAAAACAACACAATTAAACTTTTAAACAAAATATCACTAACAAAATAAGAGTCTGTGAAGATGAAACAAACACTGAACATGAAAACAAAACTATCTCTTTAAACACTAAAACGTATAACTATTCAATAAAAACTACCTATTAATAAACTAAACGTATCACTTAAAAATCAAAATTAAGCTTCTAAACTAAAATACTGCTAATAAAATATGAAAATATAACAATTTTGAGGTTTCTATAGAGCAAGCATATAGTAAGAGACGATCCAAGATGGTCAACCAATCAAAAATCGACTCCATATGACCCCACTGTATTATTAAGTCACTGTAAGGGACATTTGACTCAGGCTCCCCTGGCTGAGGGAAATAATACAACTCCTCTGACTCTAGTACCTCAGGATGCAGACTAATGTGCAACCTCCTCAACAGCTCCTTGTTAGGGACCTTGAAAAGTTGATCAATGTGCCTTCTGTGGTGCAGTCCAAGGGCGAGCTCCTTTAGAATATATGGCAAAGGACCTCTCTTTCGTATAACCTCAGCCAAAATCCATTTAGGCCCCAAAGCCCGGTAGTTTTTCATTCTGACAGTGTTCCCTATCTGGAATTGGCAGGTGTTG